ATTAGTGAAAAATCAATTTATGGAAGGCTTTTCAGGAACGGAACCATTTCATAGGTCTGGGAATGCTCATATTTCAATTTATCTAGTCATATGGTAGTACAATATGGTCATCGAAAATCTTCATCATTAATTTTCTTTAGTTTACTTTTCCTGTCCTTCAGTTGGCACACAACAATGTTCATTTCTATATTGAGATGGATTAGGTATACTGTAAATTCAACAGAATGTGTCAGCAAACTACTTACAGTATATTCTTTTTGTCTTTCCTTTTGCTTTATCTTCTTTGTGCTTTGTGTTTTTCAGGTAGAAAATGAAAATACCAATCTCTCTGAACAGTTGAGAGTAATTGAAGAGGAAGCAAAAATGAATGAAATGAGTTTTAGGCATACTGAATTCTTACAGGATGAACTTAGACAACAACTTAATGCAGAAATCCAAATGTTAAGAGATAATTATTTCTCTTTAAATAATAAGTTAACAGAGCAGGATGAAAGGCTTAATATCCTCCAAAATGAATTTAGTCATTTAGTAAAGGAGTTAAAGGAGGTGAGTGACAAAAGAGATCTTATTCATCTGTACAATATTAGTAGAACTGCTTTTGCATATTCACAAATTGTATCATATTTATCCTTGCACTACTTAACTCGTAACTGGTCGGCCGCCCTCTCCGTAAATTAACGTCTACTTGTCAGCCATGAGAAAATGTTTTTTTCATGCTAAATAGATCCTTTATGCTCTATAAAGCTTGAAAATTAAATACAGTGGTCCCTCGATTAACGAACACAATTGGTTCCACAGAGTCGGTTGTTAATCGAAAATTTTGTTAACTGAATCTATTATTTCATTGGGATATTGGGTAATTGGTTCCAACTCACAGAAAAAGTACATACAAAGTATAAACAAAATACAGTACAGTACAGTACTGTACACTTACTTTGAGGTGTGTATGTAGAATGTTGCTGGTTGATGATGATGATGGGAATTAGAAGTGGGGGGGTGGAGGAGAAGGGAGAAGAGAAGCATTTTTAATGCTTCTTGGAAGGCAAGTCACCTTCCATAATAATGTCAGGAACCTCTGGACTGACAGATTCTTTAACATGAAAATCCTCTCTCCTTTTTGGAGAGGAACACTGAGGGGAATCATCTTTCTCATGCTGCATTTTAGAGAAGAAGCTGTCAAGTGTTAGTTGTGTGGCATTTCTCCTCCTGATCATTAGCTGGTTCTTGAAGGAGACCACTTTGTCCTCCATGGCACACAACATAGGTTCTGTTGTTTCCACATCAGGGTGCCTTGAAGCCAGTTTCGTAAATATCTCCCAGTGGCGAACAATGTCTTTTAAATCTGATGAAGACATATGGTCATCACTTTCCTTTTCCTCCTCACCACTGTCTGTTTTAAGCATCTCATCCAGTTGTTTCAAATCTTCAGGAGAAAGTTCCTGCTCATAAGACATCACAAACTCTTCAACATCTCCTCCTCCACTTCAAGTCCCATTGACTGACCAATGAACACAATCTCCTTGTCCAACTCTGCTTCTTCCTGACATCTTTCAAAATCATGGACTGCTGATGGCCACAGTGCTTTCCATGCAGAATTCAGGCATCGAGTAGAAACTTCTTTCCCTGCTGACACGATCAATTGCGTCTTCCAGAACTGTGCCAGTGATAGATCAGGATCAATGGTAGTTGCCTGATGACACCTTCTAAACATCTTCTTCATATACTGCTTCTTGAAGTTGCTGATTACATTTTGGTCCATTGGCTGCATAATTGATGTAGTGTTGGGTGGCAAAAACAAAACTTTGACAAAGTTAAATCAAGCCTCCAAAGTGCTGGCAAGCTCAGGGTCATGATCGGGGGCATTATGCATAAGGAGAAGAGCCTTTAAAGGAAGTTTATTAGTGGTGAGGTAACTCTTCACAGTAGGGCAAAACACCTCAACTGCCCATTCATTAAAGAGCTGTCTAGTTACCCATGCCTTGCGGTTCGACTCCAATAAACTCCAAGTTGTCCTCTTACCACCTTTTGTTGCTTGAACACCCTGGGGTTCTCAGAGCGGTATATGAGTATAGGCTTCAGTCTGAAATCCCCTGAAGCATTGGCACCAAGCAATAGAGTGAGACGGTCCTTCATGGGTTTATGCCCCGGTAAAGCAACTTCATCTCTGGTGATGAATGTCCTTTTGGGCATTTTCTTCCAGAACAGCCCGGTTTCATCCACATTGAAAACTTGCTGTGGAAGATAATCCTCTTCATTCATCAGTTTCTTGAATTCTATTACAAATTTTTCAGCTCCTTCTTTATCCGCACTGGCAGCTTTGCCATGCCTAACAACATATAAATGGCAGTTCTTTTCTTAAACTTATCAAACCAGCCCTTGCTGGTTTTAGAGTCTTCAAACACAGTATCAGAAGAACTAGGTTGATCTTCCTTCAAATGTTTGTAAATTTCCCTGGCTTTTTCACAAATGAATTAACTAGAAATGGAATCTCCTTTCATTTGTTTTTCTTTAATCCAAATAAGAAGTAACCTCTCTGTTTCTGCAATTAGTGATCTACCTTTAATCACTGGTATAATTGTCTCTCACTTTCACTGCTTTAAATTTGTCTTTCTGCGCAATAATTGTAGACACAGTTGATGCCGACATGCCATATTCTTTACTCAGTACATTGGCTCTAATGCCTTCTTCATGTTTCTTAATAATTTCCTGTGTCACTTGAATTGAAATCGCCTTTCTAGATTTCTTTGGACCCATGCTTGATACAGTAATTTCACCAATAAAATTTTAAGCTCACTACCTGTAATTAAAGATTATTTCATTTAAATCAACACTGCATTGCACTATACTGTATATTAATTATCAATATGTTAACTAAATTTCAGAATGACTAATAATTTTAATGCAAAAATGTAAAAAATATTCAAGAGACCAACAAACTCCATGTTTCCTCCACTGTAAACAAAGTTAAACAGAGAAGCTTTGGCGGGTGAGTCAATCAGCTGATGGGTGCACAAAAACTGTACCCTGTACTGCATATATAATGAATATGTTAACTAAATTTTAGAATGACCAATAATATTAATATGAACAATTTAAAAAATATTCAAGAGCATTACTTTCTTGATATTTACTCCACTGGAGACGAATGTAAACATAGAACCAATTATTCGTAAGGCTGTCATTAATCGAGGTTTTGTTCGTTAATGGAACAAAAATTCCTTATGGGAGCTAATTCGTAAACCAAAATTTCGTAAATTGGACCGTTTGTTCCAGAGGGTCGTTCGTTAACCGAATCCATTATTTCAATGGGATTTTGGGTAATTGGTTCCAGCTCACCGAAAAGTACATACAAAGTAAAAAAAAAAAAAAAATGCAGTAAAGTACACTTACTTTGAGGTGTGTATGTAGAAGGTTCCTCATTGTTGATGATGGGAATTAGAAGTGGGGGTGGAGGAGAAGGGAGAAGAGAAGGAAGTGGGGATGGAGAATAAATCACCTTTCAGGGGACCCATGCTTGATGTCGTCATTTCACTCATAAAATTTTAAGTTCACTAGGTTTAATTCAAGATTATTTTCTTTAAATCAACACTGCACTGCGCTATATATTATCAATATGTTAACTAAGTTTCAGAATGACCAATAATTTCAATGAAAAATGCAAATTATTCAAGTCACCAACAAAATAGATGTTCACTCCACTGTCTACAGAGCCCAACTGACGCCTGTTGGCTGAGTCAAGCGTCTGATGGGTGCACAAAAAACTAGTTCCCTGTACTGCATATTTTTTCAATATATTAAATAAATGTTAAAATGGCTAATAATTTTAATATAAAAAATGCAAAAATATTAAAGAGCACTACTTTATTTATATTTACGCCACTGGAAACGAATGTAAACATAGAACAGATTGCTGAATTGGCAGACTAGCCCATCAGCTGATCAGCTGATACTCACAGCAATTCGTTAACCGAACCGTTCGTTAACCGATGGACCACTGTATTGCACACTCCAATTTAAGTGGTGCACATGTGGGGAATGAATCCCCTGCATGTTAGTGGCTGTGACATCATGGGTGGCATCTCCTCCAGGTTGGGGGCTGTGGTGTTGCCACTTGTACTTTCCTCCTTACACGGTGTAATGTTAGTATGGACTCACTTGTTGCTTATATTTACCTTATTTTATGATTGTATTTTCAAATTATTTACATCATTCTACTATATATAATGTTAATTTTCCATTGCAATTTCCACAAACATTGGTTCACTGTGCTGTGGTAATGTCGCACTACGTCAGCTCCTGCCACCACCACCTGTACACAGCCAGAGTGTGCATCACTGGTATTGTATCTTCTTAACATTTTTGCACTTAGGCTATTCTATGTTAGTATTATATACACTACAGGTATTGCTCAAAACAAAGAATGAGTCACAAAGTATCACACCTTATACATTGATACCTTGTGTCTTTCCTCACTTTGGGCTGCAATGCATTTGTCTTGCACACAGGAGAGGGTTTTTGTGCATATTTTTTGGCAGCTGTTGCTTGTATGATAGCTGGGAAGTGGCTGTACATTTCTTGCTTTTGTTTAATAAGTACAGTATATTGTCATCTTGATTTTTCTGGGCCTGTTTTTATTTTTTATTTAATTTTGATGAAACTTAATAGGAAAGTTTAATCTTTGTTGTGATTGCATTTCAGTCATCAATGACCCTAATATGACTTCTGGAGTGTATTGTATTGCATGACCAACACATTGGGAATGTCATATAATATGTTACTGGTCTGGACTGACCACTACATAAAGACATAAAACAATGGTTTTATTACTGTACTGTCTATTTTGTCACGTGACAAAGTACATAATACAGTACATATTACACTTTACTGGTTTTTAATATTTTAATCCATATTTTCTCAATAGCTCTTATTTCAATGCAGAACTTTGCTTCATTTTTATTATGTAATATGGAGTATTTATTTTATTTTATTTTATTTTTTAGGTGACTGATAAATATCACCAGGAATGTCGCAAAGCTGAGAACGTGCAGAGAGACTTTGATAGTTATCGTGATGTGATCATGATGATGGGGCGCCAGCAGAATCAGACTATGAATGGTGAAATGGCTCAGGTTAGTTTATTTAATGGTGTAGTTGTGGGGGACTCCTAAAGGGGCTGTCACGCTGGGCGAATTTCTGCATTCCTTAGGAGAAAAAAGGCAATAATGCTGTTTTCCATGAAAACAGAGATCTGAGGAAAATGGAGAGTACAGGAATTCTTGGGCAAATTCTGACTGCATTTCTAGTCCATTCGAGGTTTTATAACTCGGAATATATGGGGTTGTAACCATTATGAGTTATTAAGGCACTTTCCTCCCGGTCTTTAATCCCACTCCAATACCCTACTACTTGGCCAAAATAACCTGCCATAATCAGAAAATGTGCACCAAAATTAACGCTTACCAGCACTGCAGGTGAAGAATGATAATTCAAGTTTGTGGTGCGATGTGGTAGGTGTCAGAGGTCTTGGGGGATTCACTGCACTACAGTGCAGTATATACAGCACAATTCTATATTGTAAGCACTTACAGCACCAACTTTACCAGCGAATGCGAGAGAGAAGAAATCCTGAATTAGCACTCGGTAGTTATTTTTCAACTCGTAATTTCAGGTAGATTTACAGGTATCTCTCACTATACGAACGTTTGAGATGTGAAAATTCGCTTATACATATTTCCTAAATTACCACCACATTTTTGTGTTATGAAAGCTTCCTCTGCTTGTATGAATTTGGGTCACAGCAAAAATTCAAATCGCACGCCCCCGGGAGTCAGTTGGGGCAGCCACAGCCCCCTAATCCTCTCTCTACCAGGCTGAGATAGGAGTTATGTTGTGGTTAATTTTCAACTCGTAATTTTGAGTATATAAACATCACTTTCTTCGTATTTTATTTTATTTATTTTTTATTCAGTTAGATGCACACACAATCTTACATACAGAATGCCCCCCAAAATAATTATCATAAGGTCAAAAACATAAAGGGAATAAACATTTCTTGTGTACTAGCAAAAATTAGGATGAGCTGTAGGGAGTTATGTTATGGTTATTATTGAACTTGTAATTTCTCACAGAAAAATTTACCGGTAAGTTTCTTCACTTTTTTTTTTTTTTTTTACTAATTTACATGCACACGCACTCCTACATACATAATGTGCAAAAAGAGCAAAAGAAACAACTATTGTAATTTCAAGAACATAAAGGGAATAAACATTTCTTTGTGTATGAGACTGGGATGTGGGAGTTTTCCAAGTGTCAGGAGGGGAGCATTCCCAGCTGGGCTAGGTTGCTATGGCGAGGCTTGAGAGCAGCAGCGTAGCCTTGCGTAACACAGCCAGCATCAACACAAATGGCAGCTATGTTAAACTTTGATGTAACTTTTCCTGAATGGTTTTAGCTCATATTTTCATCTACAGTATATAGTATTTTATTAATGTTTTTAATGTGTTAAGTAGAAAATTACAGTACTGGACTGGACTTGTGTACTATTTATCATTAGTTAGGTAGGGTTTATTCCTTGTTTGTGAACCAATTTTGTGTTTTATGGGTAGTTTTGTCATTGGGGAACCAAACCCTATTTTTATAATTTGTTTTGTTATTTTCGATACAAAAATTCATTTAACGATTTTTACCTAACCCATTCATATATCGAGAGATATTTCCATAATTTTTTTTTTACTCCTACATGCACCACATAATCTTCAATACAAGAAAAAAAAGAGAAGGGGGGGGGGGGTGGCATTTCTTACGTGCACGGGAGTTATCACACACATAACCAAATGGCTATGCAATATTTTTTCTTTTATTTTATTTATTTCTCACATTTACTGGTAGAGTATATATTATTTTATGCACAAAGAATAGCTTTTTCCACACTCAAACCATCCTCTGGGCTATGAGGCACAGTTCAGCCACTCAGCTGGGCATTCACCCAGCTGACTCACAGTTCAGTCACTCAGCTGGGCAGTCACCCAGCTGACTCACATCGGGGAGAGAGCGCGGCTACGCAGTTTCAGTTTGCTGCCTCCACACACAAAATGTTCACTTCTCACACATACACACTCGTACTCTTCATTTTTCTTATTTTATAATTTTATATTATACTTTCTTTATTTCTAGTCCACATTAGAGTACTGTAATGATTTAAATTTTATTGTTTTTCTCAAATGACCATGGATAAATGATAAACATGCTAAGCTAGCAAAAAATACTTGGTGGGTTGGCTGTGCAAGGGCAAAATCCAAGCGTAAAGGTGGTTCAGGAGGTCAGATGCATATAAGTAAGGTCACATGCTCTGAGACTACTGTATTCACTTAAACACTAATGTATAGTGCATGTGAACTGATTCAATTTGCACAAAATACATGAAAATACATAGAGCGACTGAGTGTGGATATCCTCTCACTAGGCCTAACGATGTGTAACGGAGTGGCTGACTGAGCAGAGCCTCCCACGTGGGTCACATGTATTACTCAATTTTTGGATTGCATCATCATATCTCAGAATATTGCAAGTTATGTAAAAAAAAAGCCGTTTTTTTCTAAAAACCAGTTTTTGTGATATAGCTCGATTGCGACACTCAGCAATGCTACCTAGGTATGTTAATTCCTAGCCAATTCGCCAGGCCAACATACAGGCAATTAAAACATCTAATAATTACTTAATAAGTAATATTAGGAGGACATGTCGCTACCTTTTGGATCGTTATAATTTTGGACTACCTGCCTTTTCATTATTGTTTTGTTCTGAATGACAGCATAAGGGAATGGTGCTACACCTGAGCATGTGATTCGAAAAGTCATTCTTTAGGCTGAGAACGGCAGGAATTTTTCCAAGTGTGATTCCCCTTTAAGGAGTCTCAAATTCTTTTTATTGAATTTTTCCTGGGCTTGAGTCCACCTTGTCATTGCTTTTAAGATTATACAGTACAGCACAATGTACTGTACACAGGCTGTCCCTCTCTTATTCAGCATTCCATCAACTGGCAACTCCCAATTAATGGCATTCTTGCATCCTCCTCCTCCTCTCTTATGTCACCACAACTTTTCACCCATTTCCTTGTATTTCATAATACAGTAGAATGTCAATATAACACGAGATATGTTCCAAGAGAGGTCGCTTTAAACCGAATAAGCACTAAATCGAAGTGTTGTTTCATTGGAATTATTTAGTTTGGTACTTGAGAGAAACAAAAAATACTAAAAAGACTGACAGTCTACCCAGATGCACCTCCGCCCATCTCCTAGAATAAACAAAACATTGTTTCTTGTAGTATTATGTTAAAACAAGCACCCATAAATCAACACAGCTAAAATTATGGGACGTGAAATGGTCTGTTTACTCGCGATCAGCTGATGGGAAGAAGTGAGATATATTTGATAGTTGATGCCACAGTCTAGTGCTTATTTATTTTTCTGTCCTTCAGCGTGACTTTAAGTTTTCTCTTTTAAACTGACCTGGGAGAATATAATTAACATTGCTGGAATTCTTATAAGATAGTGATTAATTTGAATATAATCATGTTATAGTTTGCACTAGACAAAAATTTTAGTAATCATTTAGTACATTATTTTGAGTACATGTACAGTACAGCTTTGCCCTTAGGACAGTGTAGCGTGCCCAGAGAAACATTAGGCGCAAAATTTAAAATATGATGCACCAGATTGACTCATGCAAAATAGGAAAGATTCGCTTTAAATTAAAACATTGTCCTTAATTGTGGGTGTCGTATTAAATCAATAATCTTAAATTGATTCGCTTTAAAACGACGTTCTACTGTACAGGTCCACCACCGATTTTCCGGCACCCTTGGTTCCAAAGCCTTGCCGGATTATCCGTTTTGCCTGACCAACCGAGGTCAGGTAATAATAAATCAACAATACACCTCTGACCCACTAATGATACACCTCCCATATCTCTAAAGCACCATGGACTGCTAGAAACATAAATGAAACAAATATTAAATGTAAATTAAATGTGATAAAGCCATAATTTTGAGCAACATTGCTGTACACACTTTGTGTTCAAATGTACTACACAAGACTAAAATTTTTATCTCTCGTGCAAACTAAGTGATGTTTATACTCAAATTAATCATTATCTTACAAGGATTCCAGCAATGCAATTTATATTTGGCTAAGTCTAGTCAGCTAAATTTTATAAGATGAAAATGTTAAGCCTAAAACTATCTTCACCCTGGCTGGGAGGGAGGGAAGTTAAGTGGCCTTTCGTAATTTTGTCCAGATTAAAAGAGGTGCCTGACAATCCGTTCCCGGAAAATCGGTGGTGGACATGTACTGTACTTTTATCTCTCCCCATTTTTTCATTGCTCCTACCTTCCAGCAGTTGTTGCCTCGTTCCTTAGAATTTCCTTCTGCTTTTTCTCAATATTTTTTCACTTTTTTCTTTTCTTTGTGTTTCTCTTCATCTTTTCTTTCTCCTGTTTCTTCTTAATCTCTTTTACCTTCCTCATCCTCAGAGTCCTCATTATTTTTCTTCCCCAACAGAATCTTATTCCACCTCCTGCTTTTCATCTCCATCTCCCATTTTATTTTACTCATATTTTTTATTTATGTTCTAAGAAATAGTTTGAATATTTATGCATCGCTGTGTTTCCATGCAAATATTTTTTTTTAGTTTTGTACTAATTTTGAACATTTTGCAGATTCAGAAGGAGAATGTTGATCTGATTGTTCGCTTGGAATATCTTGAAAAACACAATGGACAGCAATATCGTACTATGTGTGGTCTAAGAAAACAAGTGGTTAAGCTGACCAAACAGCTCCAGGCAGCCAAGGAAGCTTCTGTCACCAAAATCCATGCTTCCCTCCAAACTGAGGAATTGAAAGCTCCTAATGTCATCCCCAATATTGATTCTCAAGAACTATTGATTACCCCTGAGCTGAAGGAAATTACCAGGAATAGTCAGGAGCAACTAATAATGCCTAAGAATGAAAAGAATAGCAGCTATTGTACTGAGTTATCTACTACCCCAAAGCACAGTGAAACTGGTGACAGTATGTCTTATGAAACAAAAACTTTGGTTTTAAAATTAAAAGATGCTGAATCTACTATTTCATCACTATGGCATCAACTGGAAATTGCAGCTGAAGAGATGGAGTCACTCAGAAAGGCAAACCAGAATAACAGCTGCAGTGGCCAACCTCAGGACTGTGTTGCAGAACTTGTCGTAATGAAATCCTCTGAAGGAGAGCAGAAAGTATGTTTTCTTGTTTTACACACACACACACACACACACATTGGGCTCAGAAACTGAAAAGCGACCACAACGCATTGTGGTTGTTTTCAAAATAACCAGAAAGCGAAATTTTGCGTTTGGATTTTACCCTAACCTAACCCAATCCAAACTAACCTAACCTGACCCAACCCAACCCAACCCAACCCACAGCAAAATCTCACTTCTGGTTATTTTCCAAACAATCACACTGCGTTGTGGTCACTTTTCGGTTTCTGAGCCCAACATACTGTATACAGTATATGCATGCATGTCACACATAGTAAGTAGAACCAACAAAGTGACAAGTAATGTGATCTAGCAATTAATGACTGCTTTATAACATGGGCATAGTGTCCTTGGGACCATAAACTAAGAGTGTAAGGGTATGTTTAATACTTATGTGTATGTGTGGACCTAAAACAAACTCATGTACATAAAATATGCTATGCTACAAAGAAGGCACTGATGAAACTAAAAGCTCACTTAATGGTTATGAGTACAAACTGATATTGGGATGGCCCTGAAACAGAGACAAATTAAGATGAATGTATACAGAAATATCCATAAGGTTTTTGTATGCGTAGGTTCAATTGGGAAGGTGGCAAGTTTTTATAAATACTGTACTAACAAATACTGTATGAGAAAAAAATCAAATTTTAATTCTTCCACTCTGGGTTTTGCGAATTAAATGTCCATCAGCTGCTTAAAGTGTTTTATTACAGTACTGGGCATATCTTCATTTTTATCATCATACCATTTCGCTGATTATAAGGCTAATATGTATTGGAAGAACAAGAAGGGAGTGATAGGATAGGATGAAACATGCAATAGGCATAAGGTGATGGACATCCAGGAGGCAGCAATTGAATGAAAAAGACAGGTATAACCAATTCAAGGATGGAGTATGCAATATGTGGGATGTATTTTGAATACTGGATTCTATTACTTATACAGATTCTTAAGTTTTGATGGTTGTTAATGAATTATGATAATCATTTGTACCTAATATTAGTTGTTTAAATTTTCAGTGTGAATTTAGTGATGCACACAGTAAAAGCACTTATGAGAAACTCCTGGAGGAAGAAAGAACAGCACTTCAGAAAGAGCTTGACAGTGTTCGGGACCAGCTCATGGTAAGTATGAGTATATATATATATATATATATATATATATATATATATATATATATATATATATATATATATATATATATATATATATATATATATATATATATATATATATATATATATATATATATATATATATATATATATATATAATTGCTTTCTATTGATTTTATAAGTGTAGGAATTTTTTTGTTGGTGATGCATGTGTGTTTGGGGACTGGCTGGGAACGTATCCCATTGAACCCCATGTTATAATGTTCCAGATCTACGATATTTCACTTAGCTATGGGTTTTTAAGGAACCTAACCCCATTGTTTATTGGGATTTACCTGTAATCATCCAATCCACCACCTAACCCTTATACCTGGTGCGTGGGGAATGATGCGTCACCCAGCCAACCGCCTGGAGGGAGTGTCAGTAAACAGGAAAGCCTCCGATAATGACAGTTCTACTAATGATGATTCATATTTAAGACCCTGGTTAATTTAGGACCCAATTCAATTCATGCCATTATTTTCTTTGCATTTAAGACAAATATACTGTAGAATAACGAATAAAGCCCAAAGGTTTTTGTGAACAAACATAAGAGTAGGGAGAGAGATAGTCATAGTATTCATATTAGCACGTGAATAATTGGGACAAAGATCGTAAACAATATACATATATACAGTATGTATACAGTATATATAAATAGATATATTCACATATTCAATTTTAGTGAAGACGAACCCGGGAGGGCGCAGCGACATTCACTGAGTGACTTAAAGGCAAGGGATAGTCACAACGATCTAAACGACTCACAAAGAAAATGTGCTTTGGTCCCCATGCTGACCCAAAGTCGTATAAGAAAATGTCCCAAATACAGTAAATGAGAGACATAACAAAATAAAAGTCACTCTACTTCATCACTGTGCTATTAAGTACAAATACCGTATATAATATCCTTGTGGAGGTGAGTATTTCAGCAATTAGAACACAAATTCGCGGAGCTTCCCCTTGTGTGTACTATAGCTGAATCGCCAGGCAAGAGATGAGGTTCGTGATGCGCATAGTGGGGGGTGAAGGAGGGGGTTTGAGAATTGTAATTAAATGCCAGGTAGCGACGTGTCCTAATATTACTTATTAAGTAATTATTAGATGTTTTAATTACCTGTATGTTGGCCTGGCAAATTGGCTAGGAATTAACATACCGAGGTAGCATTTGCTGATGTCGCATTCAGCTTGAACAAAAAATAAAAATTACATTTTCATGTAAAAATAAATAAATAAAAAATGTCTTGCGCAAGGAGGCTACTGGGCTTGTGAGTGGTGACGTCGGCATCACAATTATAAACATTCGTAGCTGGTGGGCCCTTTGTTTTCACGCATCTGAACAGGAAAAGGAGAAAAACTTTCTCGGGTTTTGTATGGAATTTTTGAGTCCCTATTCAACATGAGCAAGAGAGCAAGTGATGGTAGTGCTGGTTCAAAAGCTAAAAGAAAGTGTATAAGCTTAGCTGAGAAACTAGGTGTGTTAAAATGATATGAAAAGGGTGAGAGGTCTGTGGATAGTATAAGGAGCAAGCAATGAACATATTTTCTGAAGTGGATCCATTAATAGAACAAAGCATTAAAATTAACAGGGACGTGAAAAACACAAATGACCTCAACATAAAGATGTAAAATGAGAAAAGAAAGCTGCTGTGCAAGGTTCTTTCGACAGCTTTATTATTCTATGGCCTAAATCATCAACTTCAGCTACACCATCAAACTCAGCATCATAAGCAGCTTCATCAACAACTTCAGGTTCAGTAACAGTTTCAGCAACAGCTTTATGGAAAGCTACAGCTTCAGCCAGAGTTGAGCCTGATGACTTCGTCATGAGTAAAAACTCACACATCATTGGCTGTCCTTATGTTTTAGACTTTACCACCATTGGTGAGTAGAATTTTTGTTTTACATTCGTAAATATTATTTAAAACACACCTGAACAGTAAATAAGTGTTGCTTTCATATTCTTATGTAGAGAAATGAAAATATGTTTTCACATGTACGCACTTACATATATTAGCATTCTCAATCGTCCCGCTTTATTTCTTTACCATTAGTGGTAAGCTACTTCTATTGTTCCATTTATTAACATTAGATAACATTACTTAAAACATACATACAGGTATTAATTTTTTTACATTAAGTTCACTACAGCTACAACCAGGGTCTCATTTTGTTCAGGTTCTCATGTAGAACCATCGTCACTCACGAAAACAATGCCGACTTGTCCCGTCTTGTGTGTTTTAATATTCTACGTATTGTTAATGAATTGCATTGTTCATTTTGCATGCATAAACATTAATTCAATCAAATACACATTCAGTAATAAACAATAACGAATCTTTTGTACCTATTCTTAAGATAAATGACTGTTTCCTTGAGCGAGCACGTATACTTTGGCGTTCCACTATCAGTCTCACTTTTTTTCTTTAATATCAGTGGTTACTTCTACTCCCTGTACATTAAATAACAATAATTAAAACATACATATTTTTTACATTAATTTTATTACAACAACAACAATCAGGGTCTTATTTTCTTCAGTTTCTTATGTAGAATCATCGTCACTCACGAAAACAATGCCGTCTCTTATCCTCTTGTGTGTTTTTATATTCTATGTATTATTAATGAATTGTATTGTTCATTTTGCATATATAAAGATTAATTCAATCAAATACATATTCAGTTATAAACAATTATGAATATTTTATATATATTCTTAAGATAAATGATGCTCTTTCCTTAAATATGCACACATACTGTATGTTGGCGTTCCCAATTCGTCTCGGTTTATTCTTTGCCATTAGTGGTTAGCTAATTTTATTGTTCCATTTATTAACATTAAATAACATTACTTAAAACATATATATTCATTTTTCTACATTAATTTTACTACAGCTACAACCAGGGTCTTATTTCTTCATTTTCTTATGTAGAACCATCTTCCCAGACTCCTAGGTGTAAACACTTACGAAAACAATGGCGTCCCATCTCCTCTTGTGTGACCTTAATATTATTCATTTATATTGTATAAGGTGCATTCATAAACATTATTTAAAGAACATAGTTTGCATTTTTCATTAATTTTATTGTGTTTTGGGAAAAGAGGTAAAAAGCCACACAATAGATATGAAAAAGTCAGACTTTGGAACTCGTCTTATTATTGTTGCTTTATTTTAATGTAATTATTGTTTCACGAAACGATGATTCACCTTACACTGCAATATTGGAGGATACATTACCGTCATTATTCGAGGCTTTACTGCACTCTTTACCCTCACTGCAGTAACCTGTGTGATCAAGTGCAAACTTTTGTTTTTTGCTTATTAACTCTATTTCGACTCTCATCATGGCTCCCAAACGCAAACCTGATGCAAGTTATAGTAGTGCATCCAAGAAATGGAAAACAATTACAATGGAAGTGAAAGTTGACGTAATTAAACGTTCTGAAAAAGGCCAAACACCCTCAGTGATCGGTAAGGCGTTGGGCTTCAGTCGTTCAACAATCGGAATTATTTTGAAAGACAAAGAAAAAATTCATGAACATGTTAAAGGATCTACACCAATGCAGAAAACTGTGATAACAAAACAAAAAAGTGGATTGTTAATTGAAATGGAAAGATTGTTAGTGATATGGGTGGACGATTAAAATCATCTGCGTTTGCCTCTAAGTCTCGCCTTGATTTAGGAAAAGTGAGAAGTTTGCACACTGACATGAAGGCTAAATGTGGTGGTGAAAGTGATGGGTAAGATTTTGTTGCTAGTAGGGGCTGGTTTAATTGGTTCAAGGTAAGAGCAAATTTACATAACATTAAAGTGCAAGGTGAAGCAGTTAGTGCAGAGGAAGCTGCAGCAAGTGAATTTCCTGTTGCTTTAGCTAAAATAATTGAAGAAGGGAGTTATTGTGCTGAATAAGTTTTTATTATCGATGCGACTAGTTTATTTTGAAAAAGGATGCCCGAATGCACATGCCTTTGAAAACAAGAAAAAACAGAACCGGCGCATAGAGCTGGCAAGGAGAGGTTAACCTTACTGCTGGGGGGCAGTGCTGCAGGGGACTACAAACTAAAACCTTTGCTTGTCTACCAGTCAGAAAATCCTAGAGCTTTGAAGGGTGTTTTTAAGGCAGCACTTCCAATTATCTGGAAATCTAATAAAAAGGCTTGGGTGACATTGGCCCTTTTTGGAGACTGGTACCTAAATCATTTTGTGCATGAAGTGGAACAGTATTGTGCTTGAGAGTCAATACCTTTCAAAATATTATTGGGATTTGACAAAGTACTTGGCCATCTTGCATTTTTAGATATTGTTCATCCACACATTAAGGTTGTGTTACCTACCTCTAAATAACATTTGTTTTACAGCCTATGGACCTGAGGACATTTTCTCATGCTATCAGGGCAACAGAACAAAAAGAGGGTAGGATTTTAAAAGAATTTTGGAAGTCATACAACTTAATGATGATGTGAAAAACATTGCAGATTCATGGGTGGAAGTAAATGAAAACAATATGAATGGTGTTTGGAAAAAAATTCTGCCCACAGTTTGTCCACGATTTCAGGGGCTTTGAAAATTATGTTGGGGAAGTGACACAGACAGTGGTAGACCTTTGGGAACTAACTACAGCTTGATATTCATGAAGATAATGTCACACAGTTGCCCTAGTTTCATGCTGAAGAATTAAGCAATGAGGACTTGATTCAAGTGGAGAAGCAAATTTTGTCAGAGGATGTAGAGGAAGCTGAAACTCCAGAACCAAAGGGATTCATTACAAAAGAAATGGCAGATGGTTTTAGGCTTACCGAAGAAGGGTTGTTTAAATTTAAACAGCAAGATTCACCAAGATTTATAGAGATAGAGATGTTGCTGATTGTCTGTGATGCTGTAGAGAGTTTTATGACAAAAAGAAGAAAGTATCAGTTTAACCATCCCTTGAAATATGTTTTTAAGAAAGTCAAAATGCAGCCCAAACC